AGAGAGAAGGAGAAAAAGAAAAAGAAGAATTAGTGCTATAAGAGGGTGTGAGTGTGTAAGATAAAAGTGAGAATGTGGGTGAGAGGCCCAGAAAGGACTGTCTGTGGGTTTTGTTTCTTCCTTCACAGCAGACTGGTCCGCACTAATTTCAGTCTGAAAATGAAACAATCAACACCCATCATAGTTAATTTAACACTTTTATTTTAAGAAAGCAATCAGCACTAGTTAACTCCAAAAAAGTGACAACTGTGGTTGTGTATGATGGAGTTAAAGTCGCAAAGAGCAGTGAGTAAAAGACCTAACACTCATTTCTGATGCAGTCAGATATAAACACACACACAGAGGAGGATGCTAATGGTTATGTTTCTATTTGTTGTACTACTTCAGTAAGGGTCCTTGATTGTGGAAAACACTTGATATGAGCTTTGATCAGATCACTTTTGACCAGTCAGAGCTTTCTGTCTACTAAACAGCCATGTGCCTGGCTTTGTTTCAGAGGGGGCTCCTTGTTTGTCTGCGAACATGCTGACAGCTTGAGCAGGATCCTGTATTCCAATGGGAAACCAAGCAAGGTGAGTCCAGAGAAACTGTCCTACTGTAAGTGGATGTGGTATGTTTATTTAGAGGAGGGGGGCTTTGCTGGTTCCATCATTCACTCATTGTCTAAAAATAAAACACATCCTCAAACAATAGGATGCCATCTGGCTTGAATCCTCTTAAATGAAGTTTTAATTCAGGCCCACGTGGCCTTGTTTCAGACAAAGGTCAGCCAGGAGCCCCCCCCCAACACACTGCCCCATCTACACTGCAGTCAGAGGTGACCACCCCAGCCTTTGAGGTTTTCAAAGCAACAGACAGCTACCATGACATACAGTATTAGTATTTCCATTTAGCCTGGGGTCTAAAATTAACACCCACTCTGCACCATATGCTGGTGAATCAAAGAGGGTCACCCATCACACTGATTGTTTGACATCTGAATGCCATGCAGAGCCATGAGGGAACCTGATCCACTGCATAAATGAACCAAAGCAGGTTGGATGGGGTTTGGTGAGTCACAGGTGAACCCAGACTCACAGACAGTGCAGGTGCAGTAAAGACGCCCTGCTCTGTTTGGTATGAATTATATAGGTTGTGTGCTTAAGTTGGCAGCTTTTTACATTACATTTTCTTAAAGACAATTTAATACAGAGGATGAACTTCTTATTATAGGAAAAATGTACTAGTGAATCCACAGCCCCTAACTAGATTTCAGCTGTAGTTCTATGGTAGTGCTACAACTGTAATGGAAGCCCAGGGGCTCCACTCAACCCTTCCAGCCTCCGCCAGTCAGGTTGATGCATAGTCACCATTTACCTGCTGTACAAACCCCTCTCTTCTTATTTTCTCAGTAGCCGTGGTTTCCCACTGGCCAGCTAAGGAGTGACTCAGCAACGCAGCTTGGCCCACTCCATCCATCTCATCATTCTACAAGTACTGTTGCTGATCAACACCCAGTTACTCAGTTCATCCTCGCCAACCTGTTTTGTCACCACAAACTGCACTGTACATAAATAAATCACTGCTGGCACTGAAGTCAGCTACCTGGGTCCACCTTTCCTTTTTGCTCACTCACTTCCATGTGTGAGCGAATATAACAGACTTGTCCAGAAGATGAGATACAGTGCTCCTTAGCACTCTTCACCATCACCCTGTCACACACACACACACACACACATTGTTGCCCAAACCTCCAACTAAAGTTGCCTTCCAGAGAAAGTCAGAAATCTCATAGTTCCCACTGAGAAAAATGCAACAAAATATCCTTTGTAATTACAATTTTAAGTAGGATTTTTCCCACAAAGCTTCACATTGCACCTAAACTGGCATTATTTATATGTGCTCCTCAAAATCTGCCAACAGTTCACCGATGCAAAGATATCATGTGTTAGCCAGGCTGTTTGACTAAAAAAATTATCTCTGGGAAATGTTGTGCAGAATTACAACAGCGCACTCACAGCCAAAGATCTATGGCAGCCCTTACTTCCGGTGTCCACCACCGGGTTCGGGGATTGCCACCACGACACGTCGTGGTCGTCGTCGTGTTTTATTTACTCTTTGCTAATTAGCACAGCTTACAATCAATGAATAGCATCCATTTTGCAGGTTATTTTCTCCTAATCAAAGTATTTGATTAGTATTTACAATTCACCCTGTGGAGAATGTATGTTTTACCAATTGTAGTGGTAGTCTATCCACTCAAACTACAAGCGGCAGGCTGCTAGGGAGGCTAGAGCAATGTCGGAAAATCAGTAGGATCCATCCCCTGGGCACAGTAAATATCTGAACTGAATCTCAGGGTAATCATCCAAATACCTCCTGAGATATATATTTTAGTCTGGACTGACTGAGTGAGCGAGCAGCATTGTGGGGGAGGGAGATCTGTGTGAAAGAAAAGTTTTGTGTAGCTCCTCATATCTAAGGGATGTATGCTGTGTGTGTCTATGTGTTTTGGGGTGGGAGTCAGGTTTGTGGATTCATTTCCAATCCCCATCAAACATATGACTATGCCTGTGTGGGGTGTATTGTCCAGAAATGAGTAACAACAAATTGGGTAGAGACAGTTCAGCCTGCAGTTTGAACCTGAAACAGCAGCTTTGTTTGTGTGGTAAATGTTTAAAATGAAAGCCTCCATCATATTGTGAAGCCCTTTGTTCAGTGCTGACCAATGCACCAGCCAAAATCTGAGCTGCAGAAAGACCCCACTGTGTTCCCGCTCAGCTGCAGAAATGGTCTCATCTGCCTCCGCAACTGGTGGTCTCCATTAAAGGGAGAGCCTGTCAAATGCCTGTCTTCCTTCATTACAACAACACAGAGAAGAAAAAGAAGAAGAAATCAGACTTTGTAGCATATTCATGTCTGCAGATGTGAAGTTAACGGGAGAGAAGCAGCAGAAGAAGAATAGGAGGAGAACAGTATCTGGACGCCTCTGCAAAGACATTTCTTCAGTTTAAAAGATTTCCGCAACAAGATGAGACTTGTGATAGTCATGTCCTCAGCATCAGAGTAGTGTGATCTCAGTGATACTGAGTCTGCAGTTACCACGGAGACGTGTAATACTGCACTGATTCAGATCTTTTAGCAGTGCTATCAGTTCCTAGAAAACGTCTCACGTGGCCTCGTAACAGGCTGAATCTGCCAAGAGCCAGAAACCAAACGAATATGATGAAGACTGAAAAAATAAATCTCTATCATCAGTAAAGATTTTTACTCCTACCAACAGCCCTGCTGCAGGCTGTAGTTGTTGACATGCAGTCAGTGTGTATCAAGCTTTCTGTGCTGCTGCGTGAAAACAGAACTGTCCTGTGGACAAAGTGGGGTGCAAATAAATGAGTACTCTATGGTGTCCCCTGTGAACAGGACAAGAGGCTTCAAGTCACTGATTTAGTTACCCTTTAGTTTTATCCTAATTAATTTAGTTTTCTTAATCTATTTTAGTCTACTTTTATTCTATTTTAGTCTCTTAAATGGTATCACATTCAATACTAGGTGAGAGAGAAATGGCATTTCTATTTTCTGTATGTCCTGCACATATAGTGAATTGACAATAAAAATCGTTGATCTTGATCTTGAAGTCTCCTGATCTTAAAACTGATGCTCCAGCAGCCAGGCTCTTTCTTAAAAACTGATTGTCAATATTAGGCTAAGTAGCTTTAGGTATGGCTGTAGCAGTCAGTTGGTAGGCTCACCGCCAACTTTGAATGGATTGCCATAAAGTTTTGTTCAGACATTCATTCATTCAGACAGAGGAACTGTACATCTCCCTCAGCTCAAGGAACAGCACCAGCCTCTCATCCTGCAGCTACACGAGATGAGCTCCACCCTTAGTAGGATCGACACCAACAAAGCCGCAGGCCCAGACAGGGTGTCAGGTTTGTGGATTCATTTACAATCCACAATTGAGTTATCGCCTGATTTTCTAGCTCCCCCATGAGGTTGGCATTTGTGGTTTTTAGTGAGATGTCTCCACAACTTGTATGGATTGTCATGAAATTTGTTACACGCGTTCATGTTCCCCGCAGGATGAACTATGATAACAGTTGACCTTTCCTCTAGCCCCCTCATCAGGACACAATTTTAATTTGTTCGATACACTTCCCGGTAGCTAAGCCTGCTCCGTTACCTCCTGCATGATGCTCGGCCTCACTGTAGGCCTCACCTATAGTATCTGTTGTCCCACACTTTGGAGAATCACTGCTGTGAGGCGTGGAGCTTTATGTGTCAGTCTTTGTCTAATACAGGGTTATAGTTGTCTAAAGTGGAATATCAGTCTTTGTCTAATACAGGGTTATAGGTTGTCTAGAGTGGGATGACTTGTCTTTAGAGTCATGGGACCTGCATGCATGCAGTCAGGCTTGATGTTGTCTGCAGCTGCTTCCCAGTTATTTCCAAATGACTATTCCCTGCTGCTTAATTAGTGTTGTTACACCTGCCATGCATTCCCTTACAATACAGCAAATATGCATTTTACAGTGATAACAGTGACTTAAAATTTACAGAAATCTTTGAAACAGTAGCTTGTTGACTTTAGACAGACATAGCCAAAAGCATCCTTCTGATTTTCAGCCAGTGACTGTGCATTATGTTGGCTGACATGATTCTGTCCACTCTAGCTAATGCTAAGGCTGAGACTGTGAATCTGTTGTTTTTTATGATGTGGCTGGCAAATGTAATGGTTCTGACTTAGTTTGACTGCAGTATAGGGAGTGAAAGTGAAGCATCTTGGCTGCCATGCTTCAGTCCTGAACATGTATTTTTCTGACACATCCACGGTGCAACAAAAAGCATAAGAAATATGTGGCCATGAAATAACAAAACATTTCATATTGGGGTCTATTTTGTACTTTTTCTTATTGGAGTCATGAAATAAGTCTATCTTAATCCTGCATGTAACAGTTTCTGCTCCCACTTGCTTGTCTCACCATGTATGTTTCTGTCTGTTTGGGTATTGATTTATCTGCCTCCATTAGTCAGATGGAAGTGTTTTATCAGTATCACCAGAAACAGGCCATCACTTAAACAAATATAAATACACAATACAAAGACACAGGCACGCACACGCAGAAACAGGAGTGTCTCAGCGACAGCTTTATGAGCCTCCTGCTGTTGCTTTACTCTAATCCTTGACATTTTAAGGGGCTCCTGGCTTTCTCTAAAAGGGAAACCTTTGGCAGAGAGCATGAGCGAAGAGCTGCACCTTGTATTGTCTGGTCTTTCATGTGAGGAGTTGCTCTGTTTTCTCTGCAGCGACAGTGTGTTGTGCTTAAGTGTGTGTATGTGTGTGTGTTCATTGGTGCATGTGTGTATGTCCAGATCTGGGCCATTAATCTGTGGTGGTGACGATGACCCAGTTTTGTCCCCCCTCTCACTGCCACCCCACCCTCAGCTATTGGTTGCCAGGGAGACACTTCCCTCTCATCCCTGAGCAAAACCGCCAGATGCTAATAAAGGTTAATCCATCTTGAACAAATCAATATATAATCTAAACATATTTGCACAACAAACACTTTTAAATTTGCTAATTCAGGGCAGTGTTATTGTGAGTTAAAGTTTTAAAGGAACATTCCAAACAAATTCAGAATTTGAGTTTCCTCTTTCTTTGCATTTCTCCATCTCTCTATGTCTTTCTCCATCTACCAACTGAAAATAAAAGCAGGTACATGAGCAGCCTTAATGCAAATTCATGCAAACCAACCTCACCATGCTTTTGTACTGAAGCCTGCACTGCTGGGTGCCATGTATTTGCATGCGACTGCAAAGTTTCACTTTATTGTCTAATGATTTTATTGAACATTTAGCACAACAAGGCAGCAGAGGAACCTCTCTAACACACACACACACACACACACACATAGTCTTTCTCTAGTTGTGAGGACACATTTACCTAGCCCTTACCCTAAAATGACTAATCCAACCCTCATCCTAACACTGACCTAAACCTAATTCTAACCCTAAAATCAAGTCTCAAGACTCAAACAGCCCTTTGAAGGTGTGTCAGAAAGCGAGGACCAGTCAAAGTGTCCTCACAATGATTGTATTGACCAAAAATGTCACACAACCATAGAAAGACAGGTTTACAGACACAAATCCTAACGCCTTACCGAAAGTCCACCCTCTACTGAATCTATGTACAGAAATCACATCAAAGTGATGGAGCGTCTCCGATATATCTCGCCTTATTTAGAATATCTGACTCCTACCAGGATGGTTTAACCTCCACACACACACGCATACACACCCATCCCCTCCACCAGCAATTTATCCGACGGGCTACTAATCCCGCTGGCCCAGATTTGGTCCACAGTCTGCTCCACATGATGTTACTTTGTCATTGTCATCCCAACAACTGCACAAACACCCCACCCCAGTGCTAAAAACACACACAGATATACACCCCCCACCCCACTCCAAAGCTCGAAGAGTCACGTGACTCTCAGGACGCTGCGCCTGTGACCTGTGAACTGCAGTACACGCCAGCAGCAACGTGGATAGGAGCTGCTTCCATCCACAGTGTACAAGCACACCATGAGTCACAGTGTGTAGGAAATGCAAAGCAGGGTGGGCTCATCATCATCATCATCATCACTGCAGAGGTGGGAGAGCAGCAGGGGGATGTGAGGGAGAATGGCAGCCCTCTGCTGTCTATGGGTCATGTGAATATATATATGCATGGCCTATTTTTTGCCCGTGTGGGGTTGTGTGATCAGATATATTACTGCTCGCTTGCGCCAGAATCTGAAATGACGCCCCTGCCTCGAAGCCTTGTGCATCGCTGCGTTGTCATGGCAACAGGTCCTCTCGACGGCAACTGGTTTCGACACATCAGAGTAGCCGCTGGGCTGAGTTTAAAATGCTCACATACAGGACAGTGAAAGAGAATTGGTTTCTAATCTTAATATGAAAGCAATGGTTGGAAGGTGGTTGTGGAGAAGATGTAGACACATGATACATGCACTACTGAAAAAGAAGTGTAGCGTCTCATCTACAGCCTTTAGAAAGTCAAGTCAGTGGCACAATAGCAAACAAATGTGTTAATAATATTCAAGAATACAGTGCAGGGCACTCATTGCAGTGATGAAGCAAATGCTTGCAAATATATTGTGTGTAGCTAAACTCTGCCTGTTATGTGATCAACAGCCAACCTTGTTGATGGAGCTGGGCATCAGGTGAATGGAGAACTGTACAAAATGGTGGGCGCTGTTTAACCTCCGCTGTTGGAGTATAATCTACTTCCTAAGAGAGGAGTGGTTTGTCGTTATTAGACAAGAGTCACTGGTACATGTCTTTTGAATATACTGAACTCATTAGCAAGCTAATAATCTTGCTTATTGAGTCAGGAGACAGTAAATGGCACAGTACAAAGAAAAAAGGTAAATGTGTATTCAGCCATCTCCAGACTATCATTATGACAGTACTGCTGTATAGTGTTATTCTAATGATGTCAGTGGATTGTTCCGCTTAATTCTTTTTTCAGCTAAGCCTTTAAAATATGTCTGCTTGATGGCTGTTAGGTTCAGTATCTATTCTGCCGATCAGTGCATAGCAAATCCACAGGAGAGGATGCAAGAGTTTCCACAGAGAGCTGGGCATAGGTGAACTGCAGCAGGAAGAGTGAATTCACAAAGGAGGACACATGAGGGGAGGAGGGAGATGGAAAGAGTAATGATGAAGACAGTGAGCAGGGAGATGAGATGAGCAGATGCAGATGAAAGATGATGCTGATGATGAGGAGATCAAAGTAGCAGTTTGGGGAAGTAACAGGCAAAACAGGGAGAGAAGTTCATTATGACTTCCTGCAGAAAAATGGCTTCAGTTCCCTGTCACAGTAAATCAAGTCACTTGGCTACATCCTGTCTGTTTTCAACTTCTTACCAGCCTGAAGGCGATAAACAGGCCTGCTCCGTTATTGGAAACAGATGTTGTGAATGGGAGAGAAAGCGATGCCTGGAAACAGATGTTGTGAATGGGAGAGAGAAAGTGATGCAGACAAGGAGGGAAGGAAGAATAGTAGTGGACAGAGGTGGAAACACTTGGAAGAGTTGGTGGCTTTGGGTTGTGGCTAATCAGAATTCTACAGGTTACAGACCAACCTCCAGTCACACAGAGGCAGAGGCAATGCAAACTTCTGGAAAGACATTCTGATCTGGTTACAGCTTCCTGAACAAATTGGAAACCAATGATGCGAGCATGTCTGCAATCTGTTTTCTATTATCTCAACCATGGAATAAGTATTCAGTGGAGTTGGCTTCAGACTGCTCTGTGGCATGTAAACAAGTCACATGCATGTCAAGGAACTGGACTGGAAAGAATTTTGTAATCTGATAAGAAGACGCTGATCTGAATCATATAACAAAGCGTGACATGCATGTCTTTGCAAGTTTGTATTGAATTAATACTAATAGTTTAAACAACTGAGTAGTCTATAACCTTGTCCTTTTCTATTGCTATTCCAGCTGCCAATGAGTGATGCCTGTATTTTCTAGATGACAGACACACAAAATCAAGAGGTACAGTTATAGGTGCTTTGCTTCTAAAATATTGTGGGCGTTTGCAAACTGATCCATCTGAGATGAGCAGATTACTTGAAGCTTTAAAAAGCAACACCATGCACACATCCACTTCTACACAGCAGCAGTTGTTTCCCGTGTTTCAGGCTTGTCCATCCTGTTTAATCCACAGTGAGGGAGCGGATCTGAATCCAATCAGCATCCCATGTCAGCTCCTCTCACATGAGGAAAGTTTAAAGCTTTAAACCCTGTCCAGTGACACACAGCACGCTCACACAACGAAATCAAACGCACACTTCTCTACATGTTTCCATACACATAGAAACTAAATGCAGTCTGGCATCAAAACGTAGACATGTGCACACACACACAAGCTACAGCTACAAATGACACCCGTGGATAAAGCTAATGTTATATGAATGTTAATCATGTCGCTATCAATGGACAAGAAGCTGGGGACACGGTGACGTCACGGCCGGGGCTAGAAATCAATCAATCAAATTTTATTTGTATAGAGCCAAATCACAACAAAAGTCATCTCAGGACACTTTACATAGTAAGGTCTAGACCTTACTGTTATCACTATTATTACAGAGGGAAAACCCAAAAAAATCCACCTGAACAAGCACTTGGCGACAGTGGGGAGGAAAAACTCCCTTTAACGGAAGAAACCTCTGACAGACCCCGGCTCTTGGTGGGCAGCCTTCTGCCTCGACTGGTTGGGGTGAGTGGATAGAGGAGAGACAAAAGAAGAAAAGCAACAGGACACAACAAACAAACAAACACTGGTCTGGTTGATGTGGCCGGCATATAGAAGCATAGAGAGAGAGGAGAGGAGAGGAGAGAGAAACTCAGAGCATCATGGGCCCCCCCAGCAGCCTCGGCCTATAGCAGCATAACTAATTGAAGGCTCAGGGTCACCTGATCCACCCTAACTAGAAGCTTTATCAAAAAGGAAAGTCTTAAGTCTATGGACCCGATTTCTTTAATCAACCACTCTGCAAGTGTCCTCAGTTCTCCATGCCACATACTGAATACTGGAGGAGGTACTGCAATGCAGTAATATACATCACATTTAACGTACTTGTACTTTGAGTATTTACATTTCATTTTCTTTATACTTTATTAGGCAGACGGCAATAAGATTATTTTATATTTACAAATATGACAATATTTTAAAATACAGTTGTGTTTATGATCCCCTTCCGTCTTGTCATCTGTAAAGCACTTGGAATTGCATGCACCTGTACAAAAGGTGATGAAAAAAAAAAAAAATACATTTCAAAGTATTAAATATACAAGTTTGAGTGGCACATCTTAGTTTTTCTTCTTTCTTTTAACAATAATCATCTCCACCCCTCAGATTTATCTTGTGAGATTTTGTGGGGCGTGACCCCTAGCTTGATGTAAATCAACTAGCTCTCCTGTAAATACACTGATAATCAATGGTAGAAGTACTCAGATTGTTTACTTAAGTAAAAGTAGCATAACACAGTGTCAAAATACTGTTACAACTAAAAGTCTTGCATTCAAAATGCTACTTAAGTAAAAGTACAAAAGTATTAGCAGAAAATATACCACCAAAGGTATGTTTATAATTTGAAGTACTGCTGGATAGCTTGTGAATTTTACACCAAGGATCAATAAATCTTGTGATTATACTATATTTTTTATTAACCTCTTTCTGAAAAGTAACTAGTAACAAAAATTATCAAATAAATGAGACAAGGTACAACATTTCTTTCTGAAAAGTAGTGAAATTGAAGTATGAAGTAGGAGAAAATGAAAATACTCATGTAAAGTACAGATACATTAAAACTGTACCTAAGTACCGAATGCTGTTACCTGTACAGGCACTGCAGTCACACCTGCTTCTCAGTGCACTTGCTCATCCGTACACATTCCCATTACAGTGGACAAAAAAAATCACAATACGGTACGGGCAAACGAAGTGCTGAATGATACAGCCAGGTATAAAAATGTCCTATTTAACTGAAACACCAGACTGGCCCAGTTTTTGGATGTACAAATGTGCTGCCTAGAAGCTGAATAACAGTAATGTCATGAAGAGCCAGATGCCCATTACACAGACAGATAACTCAGAAATGACCACCAACAAAGCAGGTTTTATCTGTTGCAAAAATACTTCATAATAAACAGAATTTATATCAGAATACACAGCCCTGAAGAGGAGCAGGGTGGTACCAGCACAAGATAAAAGAGAACAGTCAGTGTCCCCTTGAGAAACCACATGAATGGCTTTGAACCCGATGAAAGGTCAGAATCAGAGGCACAGTTTAGAAGTTAAGTCAATGATTCACTCTTTGTATATGCTGAAAAGTAACACATCAGAAGCAGCCATGCAGGACGCTTCAAAATCTGACACAGTAACTGGATGAAAAATGTTTGTGGTTATACCAAGTTGACAGGCACAACACAAACATCACTGAGCCAGAGGGTAAAGAAGAACAGCACCCAGGCATAACTGTATTCACATCACATACAGGGCAATTTTGTTGTCCTGCAACTGACAATTTTTCTAGTGTTTTGTGCTTATATTTTGAGAATTTGTCCTAAAAATCAAGGAACCGAAAAACAGCATGGAATCTCTGAACAGTGTTTTTATGCAATAAAATAAAAACTATGAAAGATCCTGAATTATATGTATGAAGTTGTCATTTAGAGCAGCAGCTGACAGGTCAGTGACATTCACATCTGGCTCTGCAGAAGCTCAGCTAATTTATGCAACTTTATGAGCTTAACATAGCTTATAACTCTCAGCTAACTCACACCATTAGTTCTGCCTCAGCAGCTTGATCAGCAACAATTCATTACATGACAAAGCTGCAGCCTCACCAAGAGATCAGGACAGGAATCTCTTGCAAAGCAAACAGTTTGCAGCTCTGCCCTGAGTGCTATAGTTTCAGTGGGATAACGGGCCAGTACTTTGGCTGCTTGAGGTCACAGTTTCTGTCAAAAGTGAGCTGCATCGCTGTCTCCATTGCCAGGATCTTGGCTGCATCCTTGCCATACAGCTTCTTCATCTCAGCCTTGCGTCTCTCACCGGGCTGTTCAAAGGGAGGAGCCGTGGTACTTCGCTCAGAGACGCCATGCAGGTCCTGGTCGGCTGGCACATAGCTTTCCTGCTCAGCCTCCATCTGCTGCTGTTTCTCTGCAAGAACAGATTATTTTAAGACAAATAGCTGGCAGTCTTTTCAACTTGTACTATGATATCTGAATACAATTGTGCATCCTTACACAAAGCTAATAGTACCGATTATGTATGTAGCCCTAAAAAATAAGACTGCAAGGCAACAATGTCCAAATATCTATTTTTACATAGTGGCACTCTTGTCCATGTCAACACCTACACCCACTGTTGTCTTACTTAGTTCTTCTCGGTGTCTCTCAGTCTGGGCGAAGTACTGCCGAAGCTCTTCGCTGATCTCCATGTTGCTGACGTCACACTCAATCTCGCTGTCTGAACTGCTCTCCTCATCCTGGTCCTCTCTGTCTTCGCTGTCGCTCTCTCTGGCGTGCCAGTCTGCATAACGCTGGTGGCTGCTGGGATACAGTTCCTGGTAATAGCCAGAGCCATAGGCAGCCTCCAAGGCCTTCTGGTAGGCACGCCTGTGTCTCTGGTGCCAGGCCATAGCCTGCTGGTAGTGCTGCCAGTAGCGGCTGTACACTGGGCTGGAGAACCAGGACATCACTGTGCTTATGTCCTCCTGCCAATGAGAAGGGTCAGTGCAACAGTTTTGCTGTTTAATTTCATATCCCTTACTCATAATATACACAATTTTTAATTATTTTTCATCAAAAATCCTGCTATTAGATAAATTCCAAGGCACACTGAGCCCTCTTGCATGCTGAGGTCTCAAAATGGTGGTGAATTTATGTGTTTGTCACTAATAACACCAGAATTCAATGCGTTCAACAGGTACCAACAAGTCTCAGTAAGTGTGTTGTTCTTTCAGTTCCACTTTGTTATTTAATTTTGATTATGACAGGGAGTTAGACAAGCTAAAGGCGGCAGGTACCATATTCACTTACCATGACTGAGGATGCCTGAAGCTTACTGGATCTCCCTGTGCTAATGTTTTGGTATCTGCTAGTCTGCAACCTGTGAGCCAGATACAAATTCAGAGCACGTTCAATAATATCTACAAAACACAGCTGTTAGGCTAACTTTGCAGATTAAAGATGCATGAATGCACATGCTGGCATCGTCAAAGCAAAAATGGACGTGCAGTTTGTCAAACTTCACACAAAGCAACAAAAAGAGCAAGACTAAACACACAGTAATTTACTAATGTACACGGTGTGTTGACACGCTGAAACCCTCTCACCAGGAAACATTTACCTCTGAGATGCAGTGATGTCAACCTGTTCAGCGGCTCGTGTTACTTCCGCGCAGAAAATTTCCCAGCAGCCTTTGAGTCGCCGGAAAAAAAAAATCACGTTTAGCTAGATGGCGCCACCCAGTGGACACTCCGCAAGTGTGCAATGTAACGGTGTGTTCATACTGAACTAGAAAATGAAAGTTGCACCTTTATGTATGTATTTTGCAACCTATAGAATTACATTTTGTATATGAGTGTTTCAGATGTAATGTCCAGGGGCAAGGATGAATCTGTGTCAGTGGTTCTCAGAGGTGACTGCCGTTACAAGCCAGCTGGGTCAGCCACTGCTTGTGTTAAGGGCAGATTAGGTCTGGAAAATGGTGTTGCTTATTGTGTGGCCCCCATCTCTACTATAGGCTAAAGAACTGTAAACCTATTATACAATTCTGTTCTCACCAGCATCACAGTACAAGAGTGAGCAGCACAGAGCAGAAACCACATCACCCAGACCAAAGATTTAAAAAACTGTTGTTATTGAAGCTGTTCTAGACTCGGCTTCCTTCTTGTAAGTTTAGTTGAAAAAGAGGTTATACCACAAAATGAATAATTTACTGTATGAGGGACTGATATACAGTACAGTATGATCAGCAACTTAATTTGTATTGTTTTCACAATTTTCCCTTAATAACATTGACTGGAAGAATACTTGTGAGTGTCACCTACTTCTTGGTTCTTACCATGTATTTAATGAATACATTTAACCATGTAAACTGTTATATAAAACTATAACAAGTACTGAAGCCAGTGCATTATACTGCTTCTCAAACATTGTTTTCATGCTTGTGAAAGATATTTTCCAGTTCTTTCAACCAGGAACTCTGTGAGACGACGCAGACCACTTAGATATATAAAAAATATAACCGTGCTGGTTTATTCAAAGGATCACAGGCAAAATTAACATCACACGTCCAGGCATCTTCCACCTCCAGTACTGCGCTCAGGCAGCCCGGAAGATGGAAAAAAGCCCCGAACCTCAAAGCCTATACAATTTAATCACTTCGTTGGGCTAGCCCCATCCTACACAGGCAACGTCAAACCGTGACGTCACCTGATATGCCAGCTTGGCAGCTGACCAGAGCAGTAGTCAAAACATGGAGAAAATTAAAGTGTGTGGCTGTTGATTAGTGGTGTGTATCTAAAAACATACAGGACATTCAGGGACATGTCCGAACAGTAAGCCTCAGAAGATATTATGATTAAGATTACGGCTGAGCATAGCATGCTACTAACAATATTCATCCTGTCTGCAGACTCTGCAATCTAGTTGACCTTGGCCTAGATGCAGCCTGCAGAACTCATGACAATGAACTAAGCATTTAACAGCCTGAGCATAGACAGCCTGTCTCCACTAAACATTTGCTAATACAACAGATGTCTAACAAATATCTATCTGACTAAGAAATTACCTAACACTTGTCTCATGACCATGGAAACTACTGTCCTAGTTTCATTCTTCACATACGTGACTCTATAGTACCGCAGCATTTTAACCACAGGCCTGAAAACCCCCTCCGTAACCACTCTTAATGTCTTCATTGGCGAGAGCTGCTACTTAAATAACACCAAGCCAGTGTTGGTCTGCATGTACCTGGTTGCAGATAGCCTGCATCTATTTAAATCTGCCTGCCTCTGTGGTATTTGTATCTTCTGTCAGGCCTCTTTTGCTGAACCCAGTCCAGCTGAGAACCTTTGGCCTGAGGAAGGAAATTAAAAGATGTTTTCTCATTTTCCATAAACGGTGGCTCACAAAGCCACCTCTGCACACCCACGTAGGTTTAAAGCTTATATTTGAAGTGTTCTTCTGGCATTTTGATTAACATAGAGTAAGCAAGTTTACTTTAAGGGGGAGTTAAAGTGTAGCAAGAATGTTGCATTTAAGCTAACACTGGAAATTTGTGTTGTACAAGGTGCAAAAAGCTCTCTTTAAAAATGTACCCACTGTACTTTACCCCCAACTGTTATTCTGACCGATAGCCGATGACATAGCCCAGACATGTCGTTGTTGTGTTTTGCCCAAAATAATACAAGTGTTCAGTAGGTTTTAAAATGTAAGGCCAGCACAGGTGTCACATGCTTATTGTCTTTGCATGCTTCTATGCTGATTTTAACCATCAGGATTAATATGATGCTTCTCAGAAAGCAGAAGCAGTCAGATTCACTTTTGTTTAGGATGCTTCACATAAGTTTACACTGTACTACGCCTTGAGGAGAGATTGAGGTTTCCGTGTAGGCGGTAAGCGAGCGGAGTTAGGCCTCTTTTCTGAACTGTATTCTGTTCTATAGTCTGTTGGCCAGTATGGATGGATGGAAACACTTTGCATTATTTGTTCAGTTTAATACCAGTGGACAGAGGAAACTACACCTGTGAGTGTTCATGTGACAGAGGAACACATGTTGTCCATCTTAATATTACTGTGGGAGGTAAGTTGCTAGCTTATAAGTTGTTCAGAAAGATTAAGTAATATTACAAGATACTGTGGATGACAGAGTGATTGTAAATTGTTATTCTGGCAGCACTTGAATTAGATTGTTCTTGAAATTTCTTGTCAAAGGAGAATGTTATTTCCATCAAAAAGCTACACTCACCAGCAGTGTTACTGTTCTTACTGCATTCTTCACTACAGTTGAAAAAAGGTATGTTCACATCCTTGGAAGGAATCCTAACAGATGGAAAGGTTTTACTAAATGCTTTACCTTTAAAATAGCATGTACATATACATACCTCCATACAGTACATACTTTACAATCCCCCTCAGTGTGTAATCACTGGACACAGGGCAACCATTCTTTACAGTACATTTAATTAGACCACAGCAGTAATGTGCTGGGATTGTGTAGCGTAATGATAAGACAGGCAGAGTCAACTGTGGTTCCTGCAGAATTTGCAGTTGTCGTAAAGTTCTTTAAACTGAGTGTGGGTATGAATTCTCAGCCAGAATATATGCTCTTTTCATTTTTATGCCCTCGCTCATTGTTTCTGTGGCAACATGAAAGCAGAAACAGTCATGTCTTACACTTCTGCTTTAGAATAATTCACACACTATAACTTAAATCTCTGTAAGAGGTGAGAATTTGAAATCAAGTGGTTGAAGACTGGTACAAAGGGGTGTGTCCACCCACTTCCCTATATTAAGTACAGTATACTGTGCACTGCCAGCAGCTGCTGCTGCGCTGTTACTTGGATGTTTTGACAATGGGTGGATGGAAACTGGTCGTTCTGCTTCTGCCACTAACATTTTGCATCAATAGGGATGGTACTGTAAAGGGACTTTGTATAGATGACATTTTTTATTTTCACATTCTTGTGCATTGAAAAATAAAACCACCGTTTACCAAATGGATAGATACATGGAGTGCTACCTCTGTGACTGTATTTGATATTGATTGTGATTTATTGATTGCAGCAACTCCTGTGACAACCACGGGGAGAGAGCCCTATGTCTCTGCAATATGCACCAACCGAACAATGAGTTTCATCGTACTGATAGTGTGTAAGATCCACACAGAGAGGAGCAGGGGAAAAGAGTGTGATCTGCGGTATCATCACGGACGGGGCTTTGTGCATGAATGTGGCTCCAGATTCAAACTCATGACAGAGAATCAGACTGTATTCCTCCACCTGACCAGTTTAACACCAGAGGATAGTGGGAACTACACCTGTGAGTGCACATATAGTGGTGGAACAGACTTTGTCCAGCTCAATATCACTGTGGAAGGTAAATGATTTATTTTATAAGCTTTGTGTGCTTTATACTTGATGCATTTCTCTGGTTAGTTGCCGCTGTGTTGTAACATCGTTATGAATGTCAGCGTGTCTGTGTTAGTTAAAGAAATCAAACCTTATTGTTTCACAAGTGGAATTATACAGTATTGGATTTAGACCAACAAAGATTATGTACTCATAATAATATACTTAGACTAAGAAACAGAGTGAATGCTAGTGCTACTTTTCTGAAAGGATTATTTTTCTTTCTCATGTTTAAGGAGACGAAGGTGACAGTAGTTCTACAGAACCATATTCACCAAATGTTGTAATCGGTGTCTTTATAATCATCATTATAACTGGAGTTATCTTGGGATTTATCTACATAAAATCTTGTCATGGGTAAGAAACCAATATAGTGTTGATGGTGAATAAAATAATTGTATGTAAAGCATAATAGCCACATTGACAGAACAGCATCATATTGCCAAGTGAATAAACAGTTTGTAATAACTTGTTTTGGTTTGTTGCTTACCCAGCAGACGACAGCCGGACCCAGTGGCCAGCCATTCAACCATGGTACTGTACACCAGAATGTTGTACCTCCTAACTGTAGCGCTGCAGTTTGGCTCACGATTTTTAAAGAAAACAAAAATGTTGAAACTGTTTTCTTTTGCAGGATCCACAAGACACTGAGCCGTACAACACCTTTATACAGAGAGAGAATTCACTTTATTTTATTTAACTGTCAGCATTTACAGTTTCCAAGACAGGACACACATTTAGGGCTGCTTTTGTAGACCTGTTGTTAAACAGTATCTGCAGGACCTTAGGTGGCACATGTTTTCTTACTGAATAACCAGGGCAACAATGATGGCTGTCGTAAGGTGATGTGATTTTTCACTGCCAATTTTGTCATTGACCTGTAGCACTAATTTCTTGAAGTGCATTTCATTTTATAAGATTTTATTTACTGTACATTTTGTAGATTTACTGTTTTAAGAGGAGCACACTGAGAATGTTATACTGCCTGACAAATACAGTCACCTGAATCATAATCTAATAAATTCATTGTTAAAACATAATTGACTTTTGTGTTCTTGTCATGTTTGCTATTTAAATACCTACAAGGTTCCAATAGTTAAACATTTAAAGATGGGTTTTATTTAAAACAAACATTCTGAGCAGTCACTTCAGACACACTGAGGATTTTACACCAAACTAATAAGTGAATTCACATACTATACAGAATCTCTCCAGTGCTCTTGAACATATGATTGATGTAAGCAGGGGTTGCTCTGTGTTTCAGGTCTCTTAAACATCAGCTACTCTCACTCAGGCTTCACACCTGATATTTAGCAGCTCTGCTTCCTGCATGAACTTCCTGCACAGGTCGCCTGGTGTGAGACTGGCTGGGAACATTCAGTTGTATGCCAGTTCCCACATCTCTCTACTGTTCACTTTGAAACAAAATGTCCCCCAAAATAATGAAATAAAATACACACTGATTTAGAAGTTCTACATTCTCATTTCAGTACAGCAGTACCATTAAGAATTTGTCGGTGAGTGT